TTCAGTTTCATATGTTATTTGACTGTATGGAGAGCTGCCCATGTGGTGGGCGTGGGCAGGTGGAGGCACTATGTGTGGCACACCAGGATGAAAAGATGGCTTTACAGCTACAGTATCAGCCTCGGCTGTTAGTTCCGCCGTCACAAGTTACCCTTTCGCAGCTGACTTCACCAGCTACAACCTTTTGAGTCCATTACTGTCTAAACGCAGTTCGGCCTCAGTGCAGGGAGCATTATGCAGTTCTTGCGAATCCGTCAATGCCTTGATTGATACGTCGTTCAATTCTTGTGGAGTATGGCAATAGGAGAAGCTGTTGTTATTATAACACTTGAAACCTGCTGCACGGTCTTACCAAAAGTAGACGTGTAATTCAGCAAAAGTCACTGACGAAATGCAAAATGCCTCCCCCTACTGAGCCGAACAGCGCCTTATTTGTATCATCGTGCCAGCGGAAACTTACTACATGATTTACGAGTTTTAAGGATGAAGTCAAAAACGTCATCTCCGCGCATTTATGTGAGAATCCTCCTTGCACAATATGGCACGCCGCCGCATGCGCCATGAGGCTGCACCCTATTTACAAAAAAAGTAGTCGCATAGAACGCTGTACGTCCTGCCAACGTTCTGTGGAAGCCCGCCCCTGAAGTGTCGATATTTCACCTTTCACACTTCATTTCTGCTGTTTCGCTCAAGTGTATACTCTCTTTCTGGTCCGATTCTCGGCTGCTTCGCTTTTGCTTACTTTCTTCTTCAACGTTATGATAGAATTGAGCTATCCCTGAGCCTCATACGTTCTAATGTTTTCTTCAACAATATTCAATGAGTACTCGATATGAAATTTTCATTGGTAAGCTTTCGCTGTGGTAACAGCTTCTTCAGACCTCAAATAAAACAAGCATACATAGTACTTCAATTCCTTACAACAATCAACTGATCAAAGTACTAACCAGACTGGGCTCCCTCTTAACAATAGAGTCGCTAAGGTCTGTAATACAACATAGTAAAAGCCTACACTCCTTTACAAACCATCATATGTTAACGACCTACCCCTGACCGACCACCAGTGCAACTAAAAGTCCCTACGAATGCGACATGCGTGACAATCGCTAGGACTTCCTTATCACAACCGCTATGCAATCAGCCTCATTGCCTCCATCAGCTCGTCCCTGTTGTTTATTTCGGGGGATAATCGCTTGATAGCGATCGCCTCGAGCAGTTTCCTTTCTAATGGGCTTTCCTTCGAGCGGTGCAAAACCGTGACTTTTAGGCGGGGAGGGGCTTCTTGTTGATGAAAGATCGTGCGATGCCGCGAGAATCCGCTTCTGGGGTAAGACGAGGGATTTCGCAAGGCTCGCGCGTGTTCGTCCATCCTTACATATAACGGTCGTATCGTTTCTCCAACATACTTTCGATTGCATCCTTCGCATGTGACCAAGTAGACTGTCCCACGTAGCTGGCAGATTTTATTCTCCGTACAGTAAGAACAGTTACTTCGGCCACATTTATCTTCATAGATACGGGATGATGTTAGCAAGCTTCTCAGATTTTCGGGTGGCCGGAATATTAGCTTGACTGGAAGATGCGACGACTTGATGCTGTGATTCACTTTCTTTGCTATTCTTTCGTTGATATATGGTAAAACCAATGGTACTCCTCCAGTAGCAAAGAAAGGTCGCCATGTTCTTGGCTTCGATCGTCGTGTACCCGTTCTCTTCCAAGATCTTCGCTATTCTCCGATCCACCTCTTCTGATTCTCTTGTGCATGTCCGTACCTTCGTAGCGATAAGGTTTCTTATCACGTTAGCCTTCATGTAAAGTGGATGCGCACTTCGAGAATGCAGAAGGATATTCTTTGACATCGGTTTCTTGTACCATTCGATCTCCTTATTGCCATGGTTTATCCGGACCTTCGTGTTAAGGAATGGTAGAAAGCCGCGTTCGTCTGGATGTTCCACCGTAAAACGTATGTTCGGGTCACACGAGTTCAAATTCTGAAGCATCGTGTCCATCAAATCGGCGGTGTCCTTTCAAGGTTACTCAGATGCTAATTAAACCAAGAGGGTCTTATTCAGGATGTGTTCAATGGTTCTCTTGAATGTGAATGTATGGAAAGGCACCAACAAAGTTGTGATGCAAAGGACTGAAAAAAAATTCGAAAATTAAAAAGTTCTTGCTGAATCATTTATTTTCAAAATTGTGAAAATTGGGCTTTTTTTGCTGTTCTTCTCTTACCATTGGGTTTCTTAGCATCTTTTCATTCTGAGTTGAAACCAGCCAGCCGTTGTCATCGAGGATCGTGCCTTCAAACTTCTTTAATATAGCAGAAACCACTAAAGATGGGTCATGATAGGCTCCACAGAACTTGCTGTTTTATAGAGGGTTGATTCTGCTCATTTAAAAATTCTTGTCATCCCAAGCCAAGGAAATCTATTGTCCTCGCCACACGCGTCGTAGTACTAGACTTTCATTTGTCCTAGACCCATTTTTTAAGGGCAGACAACGCTATTCATAGGGCTAAGGACATTAAAAATTCACCAGGTGCTGGCCTAGACGACACATACTTGAACACGCATACACCCACACACTGCTTTATAAACATCACGCTAGATTATTCGGTTTCTCACTGCTTTTTCAGCACCACTTCTCTTTCACCCACCTCAATTTCAAAAAATACCATCTTATAATTGAAAAAAAATATGAGTGAATGACAGTCAACAGCGAACGGTACAGCCAGAGCCCATCATTGTAATTACTCGACGAGGGAGCTTGGGTGACGTATTCCAAAAAAATTCTCATCTCGAAGGTGTGCTCTGGGAACGATGGTTCATTGGTTTAGACAGCCATAGCGCTAATTGTAGATCTGGGGCTCATAAAAAAGTAGTTTGAACGAAATCTGAAGGACAAGCTCTATGACGGACAAGCTCTGTCCTTCATAGATGATAACTCCATCCATTACTTCACCTTTCCTTTACAAAATCTTTTCTTTTTTTCGTGGCAAGGAAGCTTCTGAGAACTAGCGAGATATAGAAAGTTTGACCCAATCTTTGCCGAAAACTTCATGAATTTTCTTCCCGAAAGACTTCTCTGAGCCCTAAGCAACAGCACTTTTTAATAATTCAAGAAGAAATTCAAATTCTTCAGATTCCTGATCATCGAAACCCATCAAGTTTTTGTGCAACATCACCATTTCACTTCCTTCGGGCGCTTTAGACATTAGGAAATGCATAAGGCAAGAGCCTTTCACCTTTTTCTTATAAGCCCCACAATCCTATGAATAGGGACGAAATGAGATAGAAATAAATCATCAAAAAACGTGAACCCATTGGTGGAAGCCGATGTTCATCAGTCACTCTCAATTGACTCAATTCGTCTGGTCAAACGAATGGGGTGGCAGAGAACCTGAGAAATGCTCTCTTCTGCCACTCAATGAAAACCCTTTCTATTAGGTTGTCCGGAAAGTTCTCAGCATTTTGTGTTACTATTTTTTGTACATTCTGATTAAAAACTCATTCTCCCTTGCGTCTCAGTAGTACATCCTGAAGAGAATTTTTTGCGCTATCTGATGGTATAATTGCCGTTTCACCATTGCTTGATAACCCCCTTTTCCCAAGACTTTTTGAAGCATGTCAAAAGAGCACTTCGGACGATATTTTTTTTCTTCAACTACAAATTGGGTCAATCCGCAGTCGAAACAGCTCACAAATTAACCAGGTGTGGGGGCCCAATAGTGTTGGAGAAAGCACCGTGCGACAATGGTTCGACAAATTTCGTTCTGGAGATTTCAGCCTTGAAGATGAACCTCGTAGCGGTCGACCTAAAGCAATACCTGACGAGGATTTGAAGGCGTTTGTGGAGGCTGACCCATCCCAAACAGTTCGAGAGATTGCAGAAAAGCTAGGCGTTGGCAAATCCACTGTTGCGATGGTCTGAAACGCATTGGGAAGGTGAAAAACTCGACAAGTGGGTGCCCCACAATTTGAGTGACCGGCAGAAATTGGCACGTCTCGAGTTTCTTCTTCACTGCTTTGACCCGTTTTTGGATCGAATTGTCACCCTGTGATGAAAAGTGGATCATGTACGATAACAGGAGACACAGTGGTTGGATGCCGACGAACCACCGAGGCAATTTCCAAAGCCGAATCCTCACGAAAAAAAGATTATGGTCACAGTGTGGTGGTCATCGGCTGGTGTGATCCACTATAACTTTTTGTCACCAGGCCAAACCATCACAGCAGAGTCCTACTGTGAAGAAATCGACGAAATTGCGTCAGCTGCAGCCAGCACTTGTCAACAGAAAGGGTCCGATTCTTTGCATGACAACGCCCGCCCACACGTTTCACAAATCACTATCCATAAATTGAACGAATTGGGGGTTGAAGTTCTACCTCACCCATATTCTCCAGACCTTTCACCAACCGACTATCACCTTTTCAAACATTTTCAGAACTTCCTTGCTGGAAAATACTTCATCAATCAGGACCAGGCAAAAAGCCTCCATGGATTTTTGGTGGATTCTGGACCACCCAGTTTTTTCCTTGATGGGTTTTCTCGACTAGTATCGCATTGGCAAAAGTGCGCTGATTTGAACGTGCTTATAATTATTTTTATTTCGATTAAATCCGATGAGTATTAAGAAAGTTATGATCGTTCAAAGTGAAACACTCGAAAAGCTGAGAACTTTCCGGACAACCTAATATAAACTGGTATTCTCTACCCCTAAAGCAACTTCTGTTCTGTTATCCTGTAAGTTTACTATTCTGCTATCAAAACATTAGCTACAGCTTGCAGGATTTTCTTTGCAGCGTTATTTCTCATTCCAGAATTCTAAGGCAGTCGCGAAGCCGCCCCTAATCCCATTACACAATAACAATATCCGTTCGTTATATTTGTGAACGCGTTCGTTGCACTACTGAGCCTTTTCGGTCCATTTCATTTCACACCGCAAATCCATTTCTAATTATTTCTGCCTTAGAAAATCCTCCTTTAATTTTAGATTCGGAATGTTCTCTGGACGAAAAGTGAAATGGACTCACTTCGGTAAAAAGTACTCGTTACGAATCAGCGATTATGAAATGGAGTACGCCGACTTATACGATGTGAGTCTTGAACTTTCTTCTGGAAAAGTACATATCGGAACCACGCGGAAAGCATGGGCTCACCTCCATGTTGGGGCAGTTCGACAGCGGTGGGGGGGGGGCATTTTGCACTTTTGCTACTTCCCATCGACGTGTCGACCCATCTAGACAGCCTCTTCTCGAGTTGACAGGTTTTACCATGATGGCTTGCAGCTTCATAAGAGTTCACAGGTTTCATCAGAGTGAGACTTGTAAACCGGAACTAGTGAAGCGACGAAAAGGCACTCCTCACCCCCCCCCCGTCGCCGAACTGCGCCGGCTCGACCTTCAAGGACACAATAGATCGCCAAGTCCGGCTCTCTATGAACCTCGGCATTGTAACAACCTCGTGGCGAGTTACAAGGTAGTAAATATACATCATAGATCGTTTACTGCCTGCCTCTAAGAAGTACATCATGACACCTTTAACGCTATTTCCGTTCTACACCAGTCCTTAATGGTGACACATGACGGCGAGGGCGATTATAGGAGTACATTCCCTTTATTAGCTTTACACTCAGGGGCTAATAGCCAGCAACAACGACTGCGAAATTCCAGAAAGGTTTTCGGTTGACAGGGAAGATGAATTATTCTGCCCTAGGGTTTTCCCTAACGGAAAACAAATAATTGAGGGCAACACGCAATTCTTCATGGCATGACTCGGGTGGCCCCTAGGTGAACGCATCATAATGAGAAAATGCCAAAGGGAACGTTGGAAACGCATTCTTCAGGCCTCCTCTAGCCTCAAACAACTGTAGAGGTAAAAGACCGAAAAGACCGCGCGCTGGGCAATACCCGTCGGCTGATTCCTAGCAATGTTATGACTTTACAATAGACATTGAATCCATTCACTCCATCATAGTTGCCTGGGGAGCATTACTTTTGGCTGCAATGCCGGCCGGTTTTGGAGGCGTA